ATCCAAATTTAGGGTGCCTTCCCCCTCCCGAGGACCTGAAGGTTAGGGTTAGGACATGTCGTTGACCACTAATAAGCACATCCATTTCAGTCATGACATTGGCGGATTCCACTGGGTACGACTCTTCATTACAACTCAAGGATGTTGACTGAGTAGTCACCAATGAGCTCCAGAATGAGATGCGCACTACTTAACATAGTCCCAAGACAGAACATACCACGCATCCAGTGCACTCCCTGGCAGTTCTCAATGATTCTGTCTAACTGTTTCGTGAGATAATCTACGTTTAAATAGCTAACCTGTTTGTCATGCATTTATCCATGTTCAATTTTGACAGTAGGTGGAAATTATATTTGAAGTGTAGCAATATTGATTAAGACGATTTATTATTACTACTCCTTGGAGTTCCAAGTGGAAAATAAGGATTCAACAGCGCATCTCTATTTTGTCTTGTTCTCTGCACTTCTTTTTAGCTGTCTCAACGATGACCCATAAGCTCCCATTCCCTCCTAACACGATCTCCTACTCGTCATCCTCAGACACTTATCCGACTCGTCGTTTCCCATTCGCGTTACATTCGAGGGCTTGACTAGCACTTTATGCCATACAACGATTTCCTCAGCGTGGGCCTGATCCATTTCCGTTTTCTACGGCATCTTTTTTTTAATAATAATAATTTATTTTATTCCAGAAACAGTATTAGAGGTACAGTGTGGAATTTTCAGTACATATCTACAATATTTGCATCTAATTTTATCCAACGTTTAAAAAAATAATTTTCAAAAAATAAAAAAAATAAATAAATAGAAAGACAACAATAGCAAAAAGACAACTACAAAAACACAAAATAATTTTTTAAAAATGCGAAAAAATACCATGAAGTAGAAAGGAAAATAAACACCATATAATAATATCTCAGTATCGGGTAGTGGAAGCTATGATGAAATGAAATGATATTTAAGAATGTTTATCGCCAAGATGATCAGTTAATTTGGTTGAAACAACTCTAAACAATCAGAAAATAACATTTCAAGATTGTTTTTTTATTGTCAGGTCTAATGCGGTGTTTGTGGTGGTAGTGTGAGTGATAATGGCGTTCACAACCAATGATTGTCAGTTAATATTGCCGAACAAAAACTAAAAAAATAAGAATAAAAAACAACAACCACAAAAACTAATAATTACATGATGGTTAATGACCGGACAATTTTGTACTACTCATAGTGCTAATATAGTCGGAACCAGCAGATACACAAAGAAGGAATAGAGTAAAGTACAAAAAGCAAGCCAATGTTAATAGATTAGGTAGCTAAGTATGTTTAAGAAGGAGTTTACTATAGAATACAAAATAAGAGAGAAATAAAAGAGCCTAAGATTATGTTATTGACAACAAAGCAAGTCATAGGTTTCGCGCTTAACATTGTCTCTGTCGCTTAGAACACGGGCCAAGTATGGTATCGTTGAGTTTCTGTACTTGGTTGTAAGAGCATAGATTATTTTATACTGATTTCTGGTTCTGCTTGATGAGATTCAAGGCGAGAGTTGGGAATAGAGGGGGTGTTGGGGGTCGGAGAGTATGGTTTTAGACCATTTTCCGCATGTATTCAGGTGCCTTTCAACTAATGTAGTGACGAGCTGACTGACTTTTGCACCACTAGTCCTACTAACTACCTTCAACATCCTTCTCAGGATGGTATAGTCCTTTTTCAGTAGCCCAGGAAAGACTAACGGGGAGCAGTAAAGTAGAATAGGTAAGATACAAGAGTTGACAAATTGTGAAAGTAGAGGTTGGGTGATTCCAGACTGTCTAAGTTTCTCAATGTAGTAGGTTAGACAGAACACTTTCTTAGAAATCGTTAGGATATGGGATGTCCAAGTAAGGTCAGAAGACAGAACTAGACCGAAGTATTTTTGCACTAGACTTAGTTTCAATTTTAGTCCCCTCAATGCAACAGGCTTCGTGAGTACTTACTAGTGTTTGTAGATCTCGTTTATACCTAAGGGAGAAGTCAATAGTCTGGCATTTTGAGGGATTCAGCATGAGACCATTTAGTTTAGACCACTGACTGATGTCCGACAGGAAGCTATTTAATTTGAGACAGTTCGACTGAGACTTAATGGGAAACGATACAGACAGGTCATCTGCATATTTGACGAAGTTGATTTCGTCTGAAAGAGGTAAATCATGTCAGAAGAAGGAAAAGAGAAACGGAGAGAGAACAGCACCCTGAGGAACTCCAGCTTCAGTAAGCAAAGGAGAGGAAGATACACCATTACATACTGTGTACTGCATCCTATAAGAGAAGTAAGAGTGTAGCCAGTTCATAGCCCAGGGCTCAGTTTGTGTAAGGCTAAGCTTGTTTAACAATAGGCCTCTAGGTACAGAGTGGAAAGCAGATGTATAATCAAGGAACGTACAACGGACATACTTGGCCCCTTTGTCTAAGGAGGATACAATGTTGTGATGAAACACAGCAGCAGCATCCAAAGTACTTCTACCCTGTTTGTAAGTAAACTGTTTTGGATCGTTTGAGAAACTTAGCTTCTTGGTCTGTTCATTCTCGGAGTTTCTTGTTGTTAATTCTTCCTGAGAGATCAACTGATCTACAGTGTGGAACCAGAGGAGGTAGCTGATGATAAGTATCTTTGTGCTCAAAGTTTCTGACCAACAAAGAAGAACTGACTAACTGGCTTAACATACGTGTTGAACAGAATCCGAGTTTCATTGTTTATGCTGAGGCGGAGTGCAAAATATTTGCAGGCTGATTTCAGAGTGATTAATATCTGATTCGGCTTTCCGACTCTGGCTGGTTCCGACATCCTTGTCCTTGCCGGCTGCCTGTATTTGAAACAATGTTACCTAGCCATGTAAATGAAGGAAATGACCTTCAAATTCCTTCCGTTGGTAGCGACTGATGCTATTTGTTCTTGGTTGGTTGGTTGGTTATCTTCATCACCTCTGTCTTCTCTGTGTTCACTTGAAGTCCTGTCCTCTCTGCCAGCCTCTCCTTCCAAACTGTTGGTTTTCGTCAGCAGGTGTTCAGTTTGTGTTGCATAAGACATAAATCATCGGCGAAGAAGCGATTTTCTGCAGCCTTCTCACCGATCCAGAGTATTCCTGTCTTCTCGCTCCCCACTCACAGCCTTCCACATAATCCCCCTCACAGCAATTAGGAATATTATCCGGTGGTAGTAGTTGGAAGCCTTGTCTTACTCCATCTGTCCTCGTTTCAGAGACATGCTTCGCTAGGTTCGCCATTTTGGATCACCTGGTACGTGTTATTGTCAAATGGCTTTGGTTGAATGAGGGTGATAAACATTTGCAGCACTGCGCTCCATAGTGTTGAATTAGTCTCCAAATTACTTCAATATCAACACTGTCGAAGGCCTTTTCAAATTGGTCGATGATAATGAGGCATAGTAAGATTTTATTATCATTCTATGCACTGTTCGATGATCGTGGTTATGCATAGAGTTTCAATCTGATCGACAAATTATTTGCTTTCCATCAATCTAGCTTGTTTCGGGCGAAGTTTTAAATCGAGTTCATCTTTTGTCCTCTCCAGAATGACGTGACTTAGTATTTTGCTTGACATAGACAGAGGCCTGAGTGGCTTTTCCGTGGTAGTCTGGCAAGCTAACCTTTCTTCCAATCAGACTTGGTTAGTTAGTTAGCTGGTTAGAACGTAACTTTCATCCCGAAGAAATGTTTCATATATCTTATCAGGGGGAGATATGAGCCAGACACACGCTCAGTTACTTAGAATGTCGTCACTGAAGGCGCTTCCTATTCAAAATAAACAAAAACCAACAAATCGCTAACTCTCTGTATTGGCAAAAGTGAGGGGCAATTTATTAGCTGATGCATTATCCGCATAAACATGGATTTCAATGAACCCATGAAAATTGACGCTAAAAATCAAATCAACAATATAGATTCCATTAATGCATCGAAAGCTAGTGAAGGCACTATTTGTACAAAATCAGTAGATATGATCAGCTCAGTTGCAAAGGTTTTCACTCCAGTTTCCACTACGTGCCATTTTGCCAAAAATGCCTAGTGCAGATATCTTGAACTCAGCTAGTGAAATCTCTTCTGATGTTCAATTCATTTCACAGAATGTCAAAGATTTAGCTTATTAATTCTTATTAATCGTCATGATTTCGATCTATTCAGTATTCATTTGATTGATGAAACCATCATTTTCGGAAACACTTCCTCCTGACACTGATTTCGATGGAGCAATGCAAATTCTTCGTAAAATGTTTGGACAGCATGCAGTGGTATTCAATATCCATTAGAAATGTTTAATTCTATCCGAGGAACAATGTGACGACTTCTTTACTTTTCCTGTTAGAGTCAACTGTGCACGAAGCAAGTGTCCCACAGTATTTGTGGAGGTGGGAGAGGTATCATAGACAGAGTGTACTCAGACCTACAAATATCTTCCGGTGATCTATTAAAAAGGGGAGGTGTTAGGACGGATTAACTATCTTTGTTATCCGTGACGTGATAGCTGATACATGCGCTGACATAATGACACTCTACTGGGCAATTTTTGATTGATTTATTTTGGAGGGTCTCCGATGTCATGCTATCAATCAGATATTGATTATCTATTCATTGATTAAATTTCCGTTGATGTGTAAACAATAGATATACTCTGCTGTCGCGGTTTTCGCAGTTCAATTTGATTTCTGTGTCATCTATCTCAGTGTGGTGGAGGAATATTTCCAAGTGACCATTTGGTTGGAGTGTCGTGTCTGGAGGCGCATTGTAGTCAAGTTAGCCAATGACCAGCAAATCCCCAACACTCCATTATAACACAAACTTTTATTGAGTGAATTGAGATAAAATATACGAGGGAGAGAGAGAGAGAGAGAGTGACCAAAATATAAATATTGATTACCAATGCCAAACAATCATTTTAAAGTAATGACCATCACACAGAATCGGTTTTTTTCATTTTTTTGTTTAACTTCACTTTTTCTTTCGTTAGACAGCAAATCAATTAAATCAGTTATCAGCCCGTAGAAAGGCGAAAGCAGAAAGAGAAATAGGCAGACAGAAATTATTGGAACAAATAAAGTTACAGGTGAGTTAGGGGTTAGAGCGTTGCACATCTTCATCACTTGAATCTGTTCGTCATAGTCCTTTGTTTAGCTGTCTACACGATCTCTGCCAAAAGCTTTCATCTCCTACATGTCACCCTCATAGCTTACCTGCCAATTAATGATTACAGTCGAAACATCTGTTATTCGAGTGTGACTTCATTCAACCGTCTCCTTAATGCATGTAAGAGGTCGATGTTCTTCATTTCTTTCTCCATATTCACCGGTTGAGCGGTAGGTTCTTGGTTGATTCGTTGTTAGAACTGATTGGTGCTTTCATTCTTTCTGTGTGTTCACACAGAAATTATTGATATAAGTATAAAACTTGGGCACTGTGGTAGAGTATAACTTCATTATGGATAATATTTTATTTTAATAAATCACACAGTGTTGTACAATAATATTAACTGATGACGCTTCGGACACAAACTATTGCTCATAATCGAAAAGTCATCAGTTAATATTACTGTATAACACTGTGTGATTTTTCAAATTTAGATTGATTCTGTTAAAACTGTGTGATTTATCATAAAAAAATCTTATCCATAATGGTGTTCACATAGAAGTCTTCCATAACCCGATGGAAATGCTTAATGTCACACATAATTGTATTATTTCTCGCTTGCTTTCCAACTGGAACATACGGCTTCAACTGGAGCACACCTCCATATCGTCCTATTCTCTGCAATTCGCTTCACCTGGACCGATAATCACTCATAAGATTTCATCTCCTCTTCACCACACGATCTCGTCCATATCAGCCTCAGACTGACGCCAAACTCCTTGTTTCTCATTTACGTCCCATTCGAGAGATGGCCTGGCTAGTACACAAATTCATTAGACGATTTCCTTAGAATGCGTTCGATCCATCCATTTCCATTTTCTTTGGAATATTTGTTCAGTAGGCAATAGGTTCTTGATTGGTTAATTCCGAGTACTTTTTGCTGATAATTCTTTCTGGACGGTCATCTGACCTTCAGTATAGAGCCAGAGAAGGCAACTGATGATAAGAGTTTGGAGCAGGAGGTCTGTATGAAATGCAAACCATAACGCACTGGCCAAGTTTCTGACCCATATGGAAGAACCGATTGATTTAACATTGGAGTTGAAATTCCGAACCTTGTTCTTTATGCCGAGTGCAGAAGGTTTCTAAACTGAATTCCAAGTGATGAAAGTCTGTCTTGCCTTATCGATCCTAAATGGCTTTGACATCCGCATCCATTTCTCCTAGTACTGAAACGATACTTCGTGCATAAGTGAAGGAAGTAAACTCATTCAAATTTTTCCCGTCACTAGTGATTAATCCTTTCAGATCTTCCAGAATCATCTTATCGGTCCAAAGTATTCCAGCTTTCTCGCTCCCTACATGCGGTGTAACGCATAATTCAGTTCGTCACAATTAAAAGTATCACGACTTGTGATAATAAGCAGTCTTGTTTTACTCCTTCCTTCACTTCAAACGCAGGTTTCGTTGAGTTTTCCACTGCTGACCACTTGAAACCTGGTACTGTCATACAGCCAGCTATCGAATGAGATTAATAAAGACGTGGGGTTCTAAATAGTGATATGTAACACAAGAGGCACCTTTCCTAACCTCACAGAATCACTAACTGTTGAAAATCCTAATCTTGTTCTTTACACCTAGTGTCGTTATCCACACACAACTTCAGATTAATGAAAGTTTTTCTGTCTTGCTTTTCCAACTCAGCACGCCCTCGATATCCTCTTCAATACTGTCGCCTATAGATGAAAGGATGTTACACCTAACTAATTTGCCAAAAATGTCACGGATCGCATCTACCTGCTAGTGCAAACTCAGCAGACAAAACTCATTACTGAGACAAAACAAAAACTATCCAGTCAAAATTTTCCCTTCCATGAAGTCACAATGTATATGTGATTTTTGAAAAGAAAAAATTAGTAAACTAATTACTTAAAATGTCATTTACTGATTTTTGTGCCATTTTTTAGACCAATTTTTGATAATTCGTTATATTTCTTTTTGTTTTATTGTTACTTATTTTCCACTGTATTACAGAATACGGTACAAGTTACCCGTGATCGCGAACGTTTAATCCAATTGACAAAAGGTTGGGAGATACGTTTATCCCAACCGAAAACAGAGACTGTCATTAATCAAGGTTTGAATTTAAGTTCACCATCAGGTAGAATGATACCTGAATGGAGAAGGAATTTGTAAACAATAATCACGTCAGCTTTTAAGATTTCAAACGATTTAATTTGTAATATATTTTATATTTCTTGAACAGCTTTAAAGACGATTTCCAGAAGATATCTCTAAAATCTACTTGTAAATTCTGCCAAATAATAATAAGAATAAGAAAAATATATAATTAATTAGAATGAATCAAAGCCTAACTATCAGCAAGCCGCATAAAGGCGATGGTATATTGTTATTGAACAAAAGTGATTACGCTGAGAAAATGGAAGATATTTTGGATGATCGAACTTAATCCGAATCCCTTGTCAATTCCAATGAAGTCAGTGTAGAAGCAGAGAAATTGATGACAGATTCTCACAAGAAACTGAATCAAAAAGGAGTACTATCATCAGCCATGTATGAGTCTATGAAACCAACGGGTACCAACACTCCATGACTTTACGTTCTACCCAAAGTCCATAAACTCGGTCTTCCTCTTCGCCCATTTTTAGATATGTATAACTCACCATTTCAAGGAACAACAAAGTGGTTAGTCAAGATTCTAGGACGTTTGCACAAGAAAATTGCGCGACATAGAATTAGCGGTTGCTTTGACTTCTAAAATATCCAAGATTAATATGAGGGATAAACTTATATTATCCATGGATGTATCATCACTATTCACGAATGTACCACTCATCGAAACGGTAGATTACATTTGTTAAGAGAATACCGAAAGGCAAATGGACTTAGGAATCCCCTTGTGTAGCCTCAAACAACTACTCCTTAAATGCACAATCAGTGTGAACTTTGCTTTCAATAATTCACATTAGCAACAAGTAGGTGGAATAGCTATGGGTTCACCATTAGGCACAATATTAGCTGACTTCTTCCTTGCAAGACTTGAAAACGGGAGATTGAAAGACATCATCAAGGAATTGGATATGTATTACCGTTATATCGATGATAGATTAGTCTCAGTTGATGGGAATGCAAACATGGGCGAATTGTTTATGAAATCCAATAACCTCCATCCTTCGATTACTTTTACTTGTGAGGAGGTGCAGGATAATAAGCTACATTTTCCGAATGTCTTGTTAAGTAGGCGAGAAGATGGGTTACTTAGTAGGAGCGTGTATAGAAAAAGCACATTCACAGGGCAATACGCACACTTCCTAAGTTACGTGCCCATTAAATATAAAAGAAATGTTATTAGATGTCTTACTAGTAGAGCAAGAAAGATATGTATGGGTGACCACTTACAATAGGAATTTGAATATATTCATGATTTCTTGACGCAGAAGGGTTATCCTAGTAGTTTCATAAAGAAACATGAAAATATTGGGTGGAAAACCTGAGACTATGACTGCATGTAAAATAACCTCTGTTTATTAAGTCACAATTTAATAGTGACTTGTCAAGCGAGATTTTATTCTACAGACTTTCCAGCAGTATACGATGAAAGTCTTACTCAGCAAACCTATGTTTGTCATTCTCTAGCCGGAGAATAACTGGGACACAAAAGAAGGATAAGCTAGACAGTTTCGCCACATCTATGCGCATTTATCACTCCAACTGCACCTGTGGTGACAGTTATGTTGGGCGTACTACTAGACAGCTTATCCAACGAGGTAGTGAACACCTCCCATCTTGGTTTGACAAAGGACAGACAAAAGCAATCCCTACCTTTTTTGTTACATTCAGTTGATAGTGGTCATGTAGTGGAGAAAACGAAAGCATTTAAGGTGATCATTCATCGAATCCCGCTGAATCTTACCAATAGACTTCGTATTCGTCTACTACATATACACCTTAGGCGATAGACATTCGAATAAATAATTTTGACGAATTATTTTCAGAAGTCATACCACACAAACAATCCACTATACTTTGATTGGAAAGTAGGCGATGAATAACTAATGTGTCATGCGTCCAACCAGTTCTTCATTTGGTGTAGACGGTGAATTGACTATCACAGTTAAGTTCCCAATGTGGCCACCATCATCCAACTGGATTACTCGCCATCGCATTGCATTCTTAATTTCTGTTTTTGTTAGATAGTTGGAGACAGTGTGCAGGAATCCTTGATAGCACTTTTCAATTTCTTGACATGAAGGACGAGACCTAGGTTGAACTCCTGCTGCCAATTGCCTCCAGCCATCAAACATTTAGTCTATTTATTATCCCATCATGAACTCTTTGACAATGTCTGAACATTAACCTAATGTTATTTTAGTGTGGGAGCTACTGCAAAAGTATGGTGTGCCCCAGAGCTTTATCAACCTCATTCAACAGTTGGCTATATGACACTGCCACATGAATAAGAAGGACAATAATGCCTACCATCACCCATGCTATTCCTCACTGTGGTCAACTGGATTATGCGGAAGAGTGTGAGTAGCGAGAAGCCAGAAATACGTTGGACCGATACGAAGACTCTAAACTCTGGGTTTTACGAACGATTAATGTCTAATGTCACGTAAACTCGAAGGCGAAAACCAACAAGCTGACAGAAGAGGAAGACAACGAAGACAGGACTTCAAGTGAAAATAGAGAGGAGGGAGGTGGAGATAACTAAACAATTAAAAACAACCACCAATATCAGTTACCATCAACTGGAGAAATGTGGAAGAGGTAACTTCCTTCACCTATCTAGGGAGCATCTTTTCAACCACAGGTGGAATGGATGAGCTTTCAAAAGCCAGAATCGGAAAGATACACCTTCACCACTGTGAAATCAGTCTGGAAATCTTCTGCAGTGAGTTCTATGTTGGTAAGAAACTTGGCGTTGGTGTCACGAAAAGCATTTCCAACAGGTTGTAGACTTTTATCAACACCTGCCTTCACCAGCTCCATCCATACTGAAGATCAAATGGCCAGAAAGAATTGGAAGCTAGAAACTACTGGAACAAACCAACCAATAACCTATTACTCAACAAATATGTAGGGGAAAGTGGAGATGGATAGGTCGTCCGAGTGTGACATGGAGGATGTCGTGGGAGGAGGAGATGAGAGGCTATGATCAATCATGGGCCCAGATGAAAATAACAGTAGGAAATAGAACAGAGATGTGTTGTCGAAGCCCTATGTTCCACTCGGAACCCAAGAGAACGATATAATTATAATAATTTTAGTTGACGGTTGTGACATAAGCCCTGTACTAGTCGGCGAACAATATTATCGACTATGTGCATAATCGTTCGAGTTGGGTCTTAGGCATTTGATATTATGATTGCTTCGGCAGACTTGTCATGAATTGGACTGTATTTTCTGTTGGTAATCTCAAAGGATATCATGATGTCGACCTCATGACCTGTATCAACGAGATGTTTGGCTGACAGTGGCATTATGGAAAGCGTTTATTCTTTTGAGGTATAAGCTTTTTGTTGCATGTTAAGAAAATCGGAGGTGTACGCAGAAGGACTATTTCAATAGAAACAAACGCTTTCCATAATGCTGTTGGCGGAAGGTTAAACAAGGTTGTCCAATCAGGTCATTTCATGATCCATATTCGAAGAATAAAATGTTGATTTGGTTTTCAACCGCTTTCTATCGGTTTCCATTATACCACAAGTGTACCTACGCTGCTGCACTGAATGCTACTTTTAATGTTTTCTTCAGAGGTGTTGTGTTATTACATTCCTCAATGCTATCACCAAAAAACTATGTATATACACAAATAACTGTAGAGCTGGATAAAAATGAAGTTACCGAAAGGAATATTCTTTCCGCTTAATCCTTATCCATTTCCTTGCATTCATATTCAATAGTGGATTCATCGGCAGTCAGTCAAATAAACTGGTAATTATATCTTAGAAAATATTTTGATCAAATACGATGGACTAATATAGAAGAGAGTACAAAGATGGAAACTAACTGACGTAAGCTATGGATATGATGGACGGCTGGAGGCTATCGGTAGGAAGCTTTAGATCTACGTTTCGTGTTAGTTGGCACTAGTCGTAAGGTATGATTATATGATAAGCTTGAAAGTGACCTAATCATTCCTTAGGAACCGTCTTTCAAATATCTGTTAAAGGTTTTTTTAAGCGGCAATCCTGAAGATCACATTTTTCCGTAGACAGTTAGTTATTCCATTCTTGTGTTCCGGAGACGATACCACTTCATGGCTGTTTCCAGTGTGGCAAATTAAACCTGTTGTACACAAAGCCATGTCTGTAAAGCTATTTTGGAACACTGTCTAGTTGGGTCATCCAGATGAGATTATCTTGTCAACTTTGAACAAGTGGCACCTCCATAAGACTGCTTCACACAGTGGTCCATAGAGTTCCCCAATATCGCACAAACATCCACATTCAACCAAAAATTTGCTGATATTATATTAGAACCAAATAGAGTCAATCCATGTGAAGTATGTGACAGGTTCTTCGGATTCTAGAAAGCAATAGTTTCAAACTGTTGATGATATATATACAGCTCTGCAGGAATACACAACGGCATAAGACCTAAAGGATAAGCCAGAGGTCACCAAACGGTGGTTCACGACAGCTCTTTATGATGTTGCAAGCAGCTTGCACCCATGCTCTCCGAGAATGTGCAGGAAATTTCAAGATCAAGTGTTCAATAGACTTACCAGAAGTCGAATCCGAAATATAATTCATTCGCTGGAGCGTTAGCTCGTATACTTGCATCTCACGAGACAACTTTCTCAAAGGACTGCGTCGTTACCCCTAACACTTGGAAAATCGAAAACCTTGTCCATGAAGGACCGGGCCATGACATGCTTTCGCTCAAATGCCTCCTCTAACAATTCTAAGGCCTTACAGTATCTTTCTTCAGGCACTAACAAAACAGCGTCTAATGACATACTTCGCCACTCCGTCACAGTACTGAGTCAAATTATCTAATTTGGCCCGATATCCGACAGCATCATTGTCCACCAAGTCTTCAAAATTCTTCATAAATTCAACATAACATCGTCGTGTATTTCTCGAAACAGAAAAAGAGAAGATATCATAGTTGGATTGCTTTTGCGTTTCAGGTCAGATAGAACTGTATTATACGATCTACTATCAATT